AATTTTCATTTCAATTCACCTCCTCAAGGCCGAGAAGGCCACTACAGACGAGGAGGCTACTTATTTGTGGCTATAACCCTCTCTCAACTCTATAACTCCGAAACACGAACCTTGACGAACAAGGCCGCTGCGCGGAGAAATGAGTTGAGCGCGGTACTACTAGGGACATGGTGGGGATCGAACTCAGAACCACTCGTTTATGAAGCGAGCGCTCTACCACTACACCACTACCGCATAAGTTATATTTATATGTAAGACACAATTTATATATAAAACATATATATATTTATACAAATACATATACAACACATATGTATATATATATATATATATATATATATATATATATAAATATATATATATATATAAACACATATGTATATATATATATATACACACATATATTTATATATATTTGAGAAGTGGACACACACTTTATTTTCCATATACATATATATATATATATATATATATATATATATATATATATGTGTGTGTGTGTGTGTGTGTGTGTGTGTGTGTGTGTGTGTGTGTGTGTGTGTGTGTGTGTGTGTGTGTGTGTGTGAGTGTATGTGTGTGTGTAAGTGTGTGTCCACTCCTCAAATATTTATATGTATGTATTTATATGTATATATATATATATATATATATATATATATATATATATATATATATATATATATATATATATATATATATATATATATATATATATATATATATATATATATAATCATATTTATATGATAAATACGTACATATTTATCACATAAATATGTATGTATTTATATGTATATATATGTATATATATATATATATATATATATATATATATATATATATATATATATATATATATATATATATATATATATATATATATATATATATATATGTATATATATATATATACATATTTGAAGATATACATATATAAATATATAAGACACATATACATATATAAATATATAAATACATACATGTATATATATGTGTGTGTGTGTGTGTGTGTTATATACATATTTAAGCTAAACAACAACTAGACATTGAGCACATGCAACAAACCCAATCTAGATCTGCTATTAATTCAGTCTTCTTTTTTTAAATTTTGATAAGAACAGTGAAACCAAGCGCAACATACTTCACATTGAATACTGCTAAATTCATTAAATTCTTTAGCATTGATTTCTGGATCTTCGAGTACAAGTTTATTGCATTTTCCACAGAATGTTATAGTTTTTATTAGTAATAATGCTGGAGAAACATGTTTTGAAAAGCTCCTTCTCTGATTGTTTTATTAAAAATTTTAAAAGGAGGACTTCTAAACACAATCTACCATGACATTTGCATACCATAAATTCATCTGGGGAGAAGGCTTATCATGCAAAATAAAGAGACCACTTTTTCAATTTTTAAATCAGTCTGATTTGATACATGCTCTGCATAAAATTTTTCTATAGCATCTTGCTCATGATCAATTCCCCATTTGATAGAAGCAGTAACAAATATTTTTTTATGAAGGTATAAAATCTCAGCAACAAGAGGAGTTAGTTTTTAGAACTTGTAGAAAGAGTATTAACTTTGGTATATATGCTGTGATGTTTGGATGCAGTTATCCTCTCTTTTCTGATTTGAAACCAGGTATTGCTTTTAGCTTGATCTCTTGTGTTATACTCCACGTTTTTAATTGTTTCATGTGTTAAAACTAATTTTTCTAAAAATGTTCTGCCTAATGTTGACTTATCAGCATTAGGGTGGTCTAAAAGTATTTCAATAGATGGCTCTTCAAGATGAGGATTACTTACAATATTTTTATCAGATTTTTTAATTTTTGATTTAAATATTACAGCGGAAGCCTTGAACAACATTCATATGAATGTTGTTTAAAAAAGTTTCAAATAAATGTTCATTAAATTCACAATGACTTTCGATTCTTGGATCGAATTCTTGCAATGCTTTCATCCTTGTGTTTTCCTTATTATTATCATTTTTTTCATTATTTGCAATTTTTTCGAACAACTAGCTCAGTTATTAAGCACGATTTTATATCTTTTCTAGAAGACTTATTCCAGACACATTACATTATTGGATTACAACAACCTTTGTTATTAGCATATTCCTTTTTATAAAGGGTGGCAATGACATAATTGCAAACTTCAAAAGCTCCAGCCATACACGAACACCAAGCAGAAAGAATATCATTATTACAAAAGGCAATCCAAAGCTTTCTTTTTTTGTGAATTTTTTTGCGAACCACACACTTCAGAATATGCAAAATAAAACATTTTTTTTAAACCTGAAGTGCATTATAGGGCCTACAAAACCACTATTGAAAAATGAAAATGCTTTTTGGTCCTTATACTTGCCAATATATTCTGAATCAAAATATTTTTTATAAAGAATATATGAAAAAATATTCCCACAGTTATACTAGGCCACTAAGGTCCTTATACTTTGGTCCTTATACTTGCCAATATATTCTGAACCAAAATATTTTTTATCAAGAATATATGAAAAAAAATTCCCACTGTTATACTAGGCCACTCAGATACTTTTCTATTTTCCATTGGAACAGAGTTTGGTTTAATCTATACGGACAAGCTTTAAATCTAAAGCTTGTCCATATAGATTGATTAAGTTTTTTTTTTCTATTTTTCTGCTGTCTCTATAACATCTATATTTAATTCCATTGCAGTCAAGTAGTACTTAGCCGACAAACAGTTAAAAAATTAACAAGCTGGTTAAAAACCAGCAGTTAAAAACAACAGTTAAAAAACTAACAGTTAAAAAACCAACAAGTTAAAAAACTAACAAAAGTGGCATGTTAAAATACAATTTTCAATGATGTATTTCCAGATAAACTATTTTTAGATATTAAACAAACAATAAAAAGATATAGCATATTGTCAAGTTTGTTTATAATTTTGCCCTCTCGAGAAAAACATTAAGTAACATGATTCATAAATGCCGCTCAATTACGAAAAGGACTATTCAATGCAACTTATTTCAATCTCTTTTATAACTTCTCTTTATTCACTAAAAGTATAATTTCATTATTCATCCATTATTAAACCCATCTGGAAAAAATGAAAGTCTTCTCACCATTATTGAAGCTCATCTTTTTTATTTGATTTTAAATAGGAAATGTCAATTAAAAGTGTCATGCTTTTGTTTGTGGAGATGTTTTTCATAGTATATTACATTTTTACTATTGCAAGTTATGACTCTTTATGTTCCATATGGAACCATTTGATGTTGTAAATGTTTTAACTTCTTGAAAGTAGAATTTGCATATATTACAATGATTATCTTTACATTTAAATAATCTTATTTCTTAATCGATTGAACATTGTAGAGGTCAGTATTATTAACAAATTGGGTGGTTATTTAAATGCAATTACTGGCTGGATATTTGAAAAAACTTCTTCTACTCTTTCATTTAAAGATAAAGTAAAAGATTAGTTTCAGTTATGAAAGTTTGACAATTCAAGTTGCTATAACAAGTTAAAGAAAGAAAATCATCTTTTCTTTTTTAAGAATTTCACATTCTGATTTGAGGCGCTGTAGGTCAAATTTTTTCATTGTATTTTCTTCTGTGGCATAGAATAGAAGTAGTTACTTCTAAATTTTTATTGAAATATTTTTATTTGAAATTAATGTATTGAAATTAAAAGAAACTGGTGTTTCTTCTAAAAACTTCTCAACAAAGTAATTGACTCATTTGTGTCAAACACAAAGTTGAGAACTCTTCTGAGAGAGAGTCAAAAACTTTGGAGAAAAAAGAATGAGAAGAAAAGGACTAAGGCTAAAGCTAAATGCTTTAAATAAATAAGCTTGCACCAAACAGTTAACTTTTAAAAACTCTTTAGAAGTGCATAGAAAATTGAATTATGATAGTCTTGACCAAGTTTAAGGAGAAAAATTGTTTATTGACATTATGATGCCGTAAAAATGAGTTAAAACAGTTGCAAATGATCAGTTCTTAAAATTTATAAACCACCTTTCAAAAAAAAATTAAATATCATCAGAAAAAAATATTCAAAAAAAGCTGATTCTAAATATCAACAAAAAATGCAGTAATATTATTACTAAATGCCACAACATATACTATCAATCCTGATATTTGGACCTATTTATGTCTCTTATGTTGTTAGATTACCAAGGAATTAAAAAAAAATTGTGGTACTGAGGTGTGTTAAATTTATACTTCATTACATCTATATTATATTTGTATTAGATAATACCACATACTGGCTGGAATATTTTCAAAAGCTTTAAAAAGCAACTGTAAAGATTGGGGTTTAAATTACATTCACATTTTGTTTAGAAACAATGCAATCAATATGATATTAGCAATATATTTTATAAGTTTTCTTGAGTGAACAGACAATGGGCCATATTATCCAAATATTGAAGGAAATTAATATATTTTTTAATCCTAGATACAAAATTGCAAAGATGCAAAACTGTTTTTAAAATAAATTTTATTCTGAAAGAGCAAATTAAGATTAGTCAGCTAAGGTAAAACTGATATTCAAGCAGAATCTACTAAGTTGATGGAAATTTAAAGTTTTACAGTAAAAAACGCCTTTAATAACCAGGGGTTAATAACCCCAGCTATTAACCTCCAGTTATTTGTTTAGCAGGAGTCGGGTTTTGTAAAAAGCTCCATTTTATACTAAACTTCTTTATGTTTAATACCTGAAATTTTTAGCTGTTAAATATCTGAAATGTTATCAAACACTAAGAAAAAATTTTCTCAAAACTTTAATTCAACTTTTTTTTTTTAATTATTTCTATTTCTATTTGTATTTATATCTTTTATTGCTATTTATAAATATTTTTCAATAATTTTTTCTACTTTCTTTAATAAAAAAATAAAAATTAAGTTTTTATTAAAATATTCCTTAAACACTTCAAGATTATGATTTTAATAAACAAGTTAAATGGGAGTAAAAGAAACACAAGGTAACCTATATAAATATTATTAATAAAGATACCTGTCAATACTATCAGGAGACACTTGATTTTGGCTAAGATCAATTAGATTGTGGATTTGATTCTAAATAATTAAAATAATTTTTTTAAATAAATCATTTCAGAAACCAACTTTCTAAAATATCTTATTTTCTTCTGAAGTATCTTTGTATCTTTTAAAAAATTATTAACAGTGTTTTTATACTTTCCAATTCAACATAATTTATATATATTTATATATAGGATTTATATATGCAAGTGCAAGTTTATTTCACAACTTCAAAAAGTTGAATTTTCATAATCTATTTAATCATGATTTTGTCTTTAAATATTATCTATATATATTGTAGCTTACGATTTATGGATAAAATTATTTGAGAAATTTTAATTAACAAAATATGTGCCCAAGTCTAGGACTTCAATAGAAGCAAAAAAAATTCACTTTATTTGAAATAAATATAATAAAATGAAAGGTAAATTGATTCACACCACTGATCGATTATCAAAAACTATGTAATATAGTTTCAAAAAAATAGTTTTTTGAGTTAAAATGAATTAATTCAAGGATTAAAAATGAAATAAATACATCTCTATGACATGTCAAATTTTTAGTAAATGTTATATGAAAAGTACAAGTTATCAAACAAAAGTTAATTGAAAATTTTATTGCCAAATTTTATTTGGCATACTTAAGTGCAAAAACGTTAATATGAGTGTTACAAAAATAACATTAAAACAACTTGAATGATTTATTTAATGGTGTTGTCCATGTTGATTTTGCAGAGAATTTCCACTATTTTGAACAGGAACAAC